GGGGGGGGGGGGGGTGCAGGGTTCGCATACTCGATGGCACAGGGTAAGATAGTGGAGCTGCAAAGCAAGAAGGAATACGAAGCGTGCGATGTAAGCAACTTCATCAGGATGTACACTGACGGCATAGATATCGTGCCGTTAAACGGAGAGGGAATCCGCTACTTCGCGAGTAGCAAACAAGAAAGCTGCAAAAAGGGCCTGAAACTGCACGTACAAGTGGAAGCCCAAGCCCAAAACCAAGACCAAACCCAACAGAAGGCCCAAATGAAAACGACAGGAGTTGAAACAACGAACGACGTGTCGGACGGTGATTCAGCGGCAGCTCCGCCCACTCCTTCCGCCTCTTCTCCGCCCTTAACTGCCATGTCTTATCTCACTCTCACCTTTTTGCCCTTCACCCTTTACTTATCTTATTGGATCATATGAAACATTTTTTTTCCTTTCTAATGTGGTCTTATAATTAAGTATATTATGGCGGGTGGTGATAATTAGTTAAGCACGATTAGATGCTCTAAAATGTTTTCTTAATCGCTTCTTCAGGAGTTTAAATGCATTAAAGTTTAGAGCTATTATGACGAGTGACGGGCAATTAGATTATTGAGAGTGAATTAGTGAAAGATTATGAGTTTATAAATGAAGAATACTATCTTCATTGGTACGAAGGATTTTGGGAAGTCCAATCCGATTTTTTTTAGAAAGCCCAAAGCAAAACAATAGGTTGTGATTGGTAACATACTTTTGAATAAAGATGTCACTTTCTTGTACACTTAAAGAAGAACTCACTTTGTAATGTAATGATCAAAATAGTATGAATTGGGTTTGAGATTTTGAGGCATTTGAAGCAAACATATTTTTAAAAAAGAGATCGTCGGAATACAACGGTCCAACTCCCTTCACCCCTCTTCTTCTACCTCGCCGTTCACCGTCCCATCGCTTTCCTCCATGAATTCCACATCTTTCTACTATGCCACCGCCACCGCCACCTCTTTCTCCTACTCTTCTAATAATCACCATTCTACCCCTCCCAATTCCACCCCTGTCCTTCTCCAACCTTCTCCTCCTCCCTCCCTTCAATCCTCCGCTGCCGCGAAGATCCAGGCCGCCTACCGTTCTCACCGGATCCGCAGTCTCTACAAAACTATAGCCGCCATCGACAGAGAGGCCGATCAGATCCAGGCTCTAATTCAGCGCCAGGAGACGGTCGACGCCGTCAGAAGCAACGATCACGAGAAGCTGAGGATGAACGAGGCGTTGATGAGTATCCTTCTTAGGTTGGACTCGGTGCCGGGGATCGATCCCGCGGTGAGGGAGGCGAGGAGGAAAGTGAGCCGTCGGATCGTCGGCTTGCAGGAGATCTTGGACGCCGTGTCGGAGGCGAAGGTGGACTTCAACGGATGGGATTGCGACGGATTTGTGAGGAATTGGGACGAGACGTTGGCGGAGATGGAGGCGGAGGTTTGCCGGGAGAGAGGCGGCGATGAAATGGAGAGGTTCTGTGCTCAGTTCTTAGGGTTCCGTTGCTTCCAGAGGTTTCTCAGTGGGTCCTAATCTACTGTGGAGTTGCCTACAGTTATCTTGCACATTCTACTAAGATTTGGACACGTGTTTTATTGTTATTATTTTTAAGCCAAGGGATTATAAAATGTGTGCAGTTTATAAAATTAGAAATCAAAGGAAGGAATTTTATTAAGTGTTTGAAAATTATGGAATATTTTAATGGCTAAACTATAGAGCTTATTGTGAATTTGTACTTGTTTAAAAACTACCAGATCAAACAGATTTTAGTCATTAACTGTATACGTAATAAACAAAGTAATCGATTCTCGAAACTTCTAAAACGGTAAAATAATAAGCTTTCCTCCACTTATTTGAGTTTGACCTGTCATCGATTGCACTAAGAGGTAATACTAGCTATTAGATCAGAGATATGTCGGATGTTCCTCCACTTATCTCATTGATTACACTAAGAGGCGACACTAACTATCAAGTCAAAGAGACAGATGTTCCTCCACTTACCTGAGTTTGACCCGTCATTGACTACACTAAGAGACAATACTAACTATCAGGCCAAAGAGACGTCAAGATGTTCCTCCACTTATCTAAGTTTAACTCATCATTGACAACACTAAGAGCCGATACTAGCCATCAAGTCAAAGAGAGACGTCAGATGTTCCTCCACTTAATTGAGTTTGACCCGTCATTGACTACACTAAGAGACAATACTAGCTATCAAGAGAGGTTAGATGTTCCTCCACTTATCTGAGTTCGACTCGTCATTGACTACACTAAGGCAATACTAACTAGCTACCAAGTCAGAGAGAATTAAGATGTTCCTCCACTTAATTGAGTTTGACTCGTCAGTGACTACACTAAGAATCAATACTAGCTATCCGGGGAGATCATACTGGAGATCATACTAATTATCTACGCTTCCCAAAACTAAACTTGATTAGAAGTTTTAAGAACGAAACCAACAGTTGAAAAAAAAACGAAGTGGGGCAATACTAACTAAAAGAAGTGGCAATGAAGATGAGAATTTGGGAGGAAGGTGAGGGGAAGAGGGGCGTACTAAAGGGTGTGTTATTAATCAGAGGAGGCTGTCTATTACGCTGTAAACTCAAGAATATATGTTCTACACAGCCTACCAAAACAAGCAACAAAAATCCAGTAGATACTCAAAATTACAAACTCTCACAGTTATGCCTTCTCATACCAAATCACTGCAAATACAAATCCTCCGAACTCATAAAACTCATCCCGTTGCCTTACTATCTATATCATAATCATCAATGTTATGTTTGTTACAGAAAAACTCAAGTAGTTTAGGCAACAAAATTTCACCTGCTTTACAGAAATTGGTGTGCAGCAGCATCAGCAGCAGCATTGTCCAGACCTTTCCAGTCCAATTTCCCAAAGTATGTTCAATTGATTCTACAATTAAACGAAGAGATTAGCAGCAAGAAGCTTCCTTTATCTACTATCATCTCCTGTTTAAGTACAGATGCATATATTGTAGAGGGGAAATAAACCAACTAATTGCGCTATTGAACTTCCTATCTATTGCTGCCGTTCATATATCTGCATATAAGCCTCAGATAGAGCAACCATTTGAGGAAGTGTTTCTGAGACGTGAAGATCCTGCATCTCGTACCTGTAATATCGACGTTTGAACGCAATGGGGTCAGGCATTCTAGATCATTGGGTACCATTTACAAAAAGGGAAAGAAGAATTACCATAATTCTTCGGACTTCCTCTGTACAAATACCCTGTAGTACCCTTCATTGGGTTTGCCATCGTGAACAATATTTGCGATCAAATCGTACTTTGAACGTAACTTTTCACTCTCTTTAGGAGTTGGCAAGGGGATGTAATCCTTCAATTCTAGATTCTTGACGGGAAAGTTCACTGAGACCAAAATGTCAATTATTAAATTACCAAAAGATGGTTCATTAAGAAGGCTTCATTCCGCAGTGATATTCTCACAAATATAATGCAATCAAGTCACTACCTAAAGTGGGATTCTTTTCCACAAAAAAGTTGTTCTTTGTAAATCGCCGCATATGAAGAATTAAATACTGAGGCAATCGAGTAACACGGTAGCGCATCCTTGCTATACGTGGCCGTACAACTTCTGTGATAGTTTCACCATCAAATTTTTTCAAAATGTTGAAGAGTGGAACCTAGAAAAGAAATACATAAACGGACATTCAAAATTTAGGTCATAGATATACTAAGAATTACATAATTACTTCTAATTGACCACAAGTTATAATCTCTTAAATAAGAGAAACCTTTCTATTAAAAGAAACTTAAAAGACATGAGAGACGTACGCAAAAGAACGAAATTAGAAAAAGAAGCCTAATTTTCATTCACGTTTATAGAAAAGAAGTTTACAAAACTTGAAGGTTTGAAGATTTCTCCAAAATCAATAATATCCAACATTTATAAGGGAGAAAAAGAAGAAAACTTTTAATACTACAAAATGTTCCCAAGCCTTTTGCTCGCCAATTCTCCTAACAGCAACTATTGAAACAACCAACAAATTTTTATTCCTCTTACAATTATTGCCTCCAAAAAGAAGCATTAAAAGGTATTTCACTCTTGAACCCATGCTGACCTCAAATTTTATCAACCATTTTTATTGAATAGCAGAAAGTCAAGCTCCTAAACGCTTGAAACGGGGGACGGAAGTTGTCCCCTTTGGAATTAGAGTGGATGCTAATGAGGTCTATAAAATCATTCCATCCTTTTCCTTGATCACCTATTGGAATGAGTAAACGGCTTTTCCCTCCACTACAGTCCAACTTAACCAACTCTACAGCGTTAACCCCTTTTGCTGGAAAGTTTCACTAACCAAAGAATTTGATCTATCAACTCTTGTTTCTTTGAAAAGCTTTTGGTTCAGAGATACACTCAACACCAACTTCTGGTTTTCGATGAATCATAGAGAACTCTAAAGAATGGAGATGGATACAGACCTATCCCTATCAGCTTCGGCTATGCAGACACTGTTACCTATAGATCTAGAGTCAACTTGGATAGAGAAGGTTTTCTCCTTGATGGTCAAATAAATTGGACGAAGAAAACACATGGTGAATGGGGCTGGAATGATCAACGGGGATAGTGGTCAGCATGGTTTGGTAGTCTGATGATGGAGAAGGGAAGGGGTTGTGAGAGAGCCAGGAGGAGAAAGTCATGGCAATCTTGAGTACTCTCAAAATCAAACAAGTCTCCAATATTGAACTAAGCATGAAATGAAAACTTTCAAGAGAAAATGGAAACAAGTGGCTGTATAAGTACCCTCCTGTACAAAAGAAACCAGCAAGAAAATTACACCTACCTGTGGTATTATATTTTTCTCCATAACATCTTTGAAAAGAGGTGGCGGCGGTAAATCCAATCCAAGCATTAAGAATGGCATTCTTGAAGTTTCCATTATGACACTGCTACCTTCAGTTCCAGCATCCTGGTCGTCACCATTTTCTTTCTTCTCAGTGAGAGCTTTCGAGTGAATCTCTTTGACAACCTCCAGTTCTCCCTATCCAAAATATAAATATATAACATAAGTTTCAGTTTACTAGTACCATCGGAACGTAATTCACAATATTACTTGAGAAAATTAAAGAGAACCTGGAAACACTCGTAGATTATGCTGCTACTTTTCTTTGAAACTCGCAGTTCTGAATGTAGTGTGTTAAGAAACCATGACATAAATTCAACAGGATCCGACTGTGCACCTATTCGGAAACGCTTTTTACTAGCCTTCATAACTGCTTGCAGGAATTCATGCGGGCTTACCTATAAATTCTTAAGGATTCAAAATCTTTGAACTTAAAAAATAAAAACTCAACCACCGAGAAGAACATCAATGAACAGTAAAGTCAAACCTGTCCTTTGAAGTTTCGTGCATGCCAAATCTTACGTGTGAGTTCACCAAACCGGTGGACAAGTGGAGATCTGCAGTGCTGATAGTTCTTGGGTATGAGGAAGAAGTTCCTGAGTGGTGTAACCCTCATTAAGGATTGAATTGTCACATTTACAAAATCAGTTTCTTTAATGTTGTTAAGCCCCACCTGGTTCCACCAAATTCAAATTTAGCCCTTGATGCCAATCTAACAGATAAGATAACACAAATACAATGAAAATATAATTACCATTCCTGGAAGGTAATCAGAACCATCAAGTGCTCTAGACCATTGCTTCTTCTTGTCAAGCTGCTCAACCTGCTCTTTGGCAAACCTGCACGCAGTGCCAAAAGGACCATTAAAGCATATTTCATTAAAGACAGTATAACATCTATTCATAGTCAAGCACAATAATTTATTATATTCTTATTATTATTATTAGGATTTTAGGTTTCATATTTTGCTCAAATTTGAAGATTTGCTTTAATAATTTGTCTCATTTAAACAAGCTTTAGTTATTTGAAATCCTAGTTTTAATTTTTAAGTTTACATTTAAGTCTAACAAGATGTTACATGAGTAGGGATTATACTCTTCTAATGAGCAATTAACTTTTCTCTAAAACGGAAAAAATTAAGACAAATTTTCAAAGAAATATTTCCTAGTTGGACTACTAAGGTCCTGTGTGGAATTTTAAAGCATCCCTTCTATTTTTCTTTTAATTTTAATGTTGTGCTTTTCCACTAAAATACATTGGATATGGTTTCTATGGCCATGAGAAATCCTAAATCTCGCATATGCATTTCCCAAGAAATTTCCTATCACTGTCCTACATCAAATAGGATTGGGGATTTCATGATTTGATGACCCATGATGATGCTTCACATCTGTATTTACCGAAGATAATGGGTGCAAACACAAATTATATAATGGAACTGTCAATGTTTGTCGTAGATCCATCACTTCAAATTTCATTCAAAATAATGGGTTACTTTTTCTGCAAGGGCAAAAAACAAGGGGGAAGGGATCTTCAACCCACGAGGTGGAACTTAGAAGAACAAAGAGAAGCATAAGATGCTCTAGTGAATTGATAGATAAACTGAATTTGGTAGATCTTTCCTTCAGTAATACTACACTTGCCCCAATATAAGAGAGGAGGCAACAGTTCTAGTGGACTCTTCTTAGTAACTAGAGAATGGGTAGATATACTCATAGACTCCAAAGTTTTGAAGAAAATGAATGATATCAGGTCATGCTCCATTTTTTGTTGGATCCACGAGTATTCTTCTTTCAAATTCCAAAATGATTAGCTCCAGGATC